ATTAAATAAATTTTTACATGTGTTTTGGAGAACTTGTAATTACTACAGCCCCCATGCAACCTAAATGGCATTACAAGAGCTCTAGAACTTCCTAAGTTCTTCCTTTAAAAAAAGGACACCTAAAGCAAAGGATTTCCTGGACATTGCAAAAATACTTCGAGATGCGACTACCAAGCGAATCTTCCGTTGCTAGGCGCCGCAAATGGCAATTTTGGTGCTATGCAATAACAGAACATCAGGAAGCGCGAAAGCAAAAATTGGCGAAGAACGTCCATTTGTCGATAAATTAATGAAACTGCGAACCATTAGCGCAAAGCACTGTTAAATTTGCAAGACGCCCACGACCGGAAACCGTCCCGCGCCTCCAGCAAAAATTTCAAAATAAAAATTGCGGGAGGCATTGTTGAGTGGCGGGAACGTCTTGCCGGGAGGTGGAAATTGGCTGTCGCGTATTTCAACATTCCCAGGCCGGGAGCGAGGCCGCGGAAATTCGAAACTGATTGATGGGCATGAAATCGAACCAAAATCGAGAATAGGCATAAAATGCCGATTCAGCAAATGAGAACATTATCAAACTTAGTCAATTTTGCTAATATTAATGTTGTGTAACGACAGACTCCGGTCGGTCTAAATGCAAAAATTTTTAAATTACATTTAAAACGTAAAACCTTTTTGATACACCTTGGTTTACAAAAATGCGGTAAAAGTATGCAAGAAAACTGCTATTTGAAAATTATTATGCATACAATTTAAGCTTAGCTAAATATTCCTTGCATCCTATCATTAATGCGGAAAAGCGCCATAAAAAATCCTTTATCCATAATAGTATCCATACCATAATTTATCCAGAGTCATCGGACCCCTCGAAATTGCAAGGGGTTTTTGATATATCATAGCTATTTCGTTCTAGAAATTAGCTAAATTCGATTTTTGTCATTGAGCAACAAACCCTGGTCAGCATCACTAAAATACGGTAACAGTAAATATAATTTCTTGACGTTGATTCTTTAGATCCAGGTTTCTAAATTCGATTCTTACAAAAGAAAAAAATTTAGTTTCGATCCTCCTGCCACCTTTCCAATCCCACCGGAACCGACAACGATTCATCCACCGACGAAATGCTTTGCGAGCCCAGAAAAAGGTGGCGAAAAATGGACATCCGGGGGTGGGTTGAGGGGGCTTTCAGCTATGTTGTTGTAGCCACATTATCAAGAGGCGATTGATTCCCAGGGGGAGATCGAGGGAAAGGCGGCCCATTTATTCTCCTTCTCCTCGTCGGCTGAAAGTTTGCTGGGGGTACCGTAATCCGGTCTCGAATTTTGCGATTCTTTAGGAATCGAAAAAGCTACAGATATATACAAAATTTTGTAACTGATATCCATACCGTCTTTTTCATGCATTTTTACCTACAAACCTTTACATGGCCTCCCTCCATATTTTTCCGCCGTTCGGGCCGTTAAAGTCTTTTTTCCAAGCTTAACGGACTTTGAAATTCCGTGAAGTTACTCCTTACTAACTTAAGATTCGCTACACCTCGATAATTCTGCTTTTCAGACCATCATATGGGCTCCTGGCAAATCTTGGGCTCCCTTTTAGCGGCCGCGGCCGTGATAGGGGCCGACAATGTAGGCCTTCCCGAAAATGGTAAGAAATAGAATATTTTAAAGGGTCGGGAAACCGAATTTTTGTCTGTTAATTTGCCGTTGATTCTGATCGAAAAACCTGTCAATTTTAGGCTGCACGAGCCTCCCCGACGGCTCGTACTCCCTCGGCTGCAGCCACCAATATTTCATGTGCTCAAATGGGAATTCGTATGCGGCCGAGTGCCCGGCTGGGCTTTACTACAATGAGGCCACCATCGGTAGGTTTTGCTGCCTAGAAAAATACCCTGTCATTTTTTAGCCTGCGACTACATCGAGAACGTCGGGTCGTGTAATGGGCAGCCAAGAGCTGGTAAGTAAGCCAAGATGCCTATTTAATAGCTGTCGATTTGCGGAAAGTATCACATCCTGTGCATGTTACTATTTTTGGACCGTAAATAACCCGATGAATACTAAAAAAGCAGGGTTTTTATGTGTTTGTCAAAACGAATTGTTTCCAGACGAACCGGCCCAACCGCTTCACCGAATGGACGAGATGCGACTCCAAGCCGAGCAGCCGATTCAGGAGAACTTCCAACCTGGAGGACCATTCGTGAGACGTACGTCTACTTACTGGTTAGGAAAAATTTGGCAACGCGTACGCGCCATCATAAAATCGTGATAAAATTCGACTTTTGCGGCACGCAACGTCCGCTTCTTTTGCGCAATTAGTGAAAATGACCAGTTACTTGCAATAGTAAAAACATGTAGTAAAAGAAGTGGTAAAAACATGCAAATTTCGTTCACAAACTGCAAATGTTGCAGAACCCCAGCCGTCCATCTCGATCCAGCCGCTCCAGGCCCCGCCGATAGTCGCTGCACCGGAATGTGAGAATCTCTTGAGTTTTCTCTATTTAACGATATTCAGTCCAATGGCAACAAATCGATCTAAATGCCGGTCCGCAGCAGCCACAACAGCAACTGCAGCCTCAGCCGCAACAACAGGAAACCTGGACCGTTCCCACCCCGATCCAGGCCCAGGATGGTTTGTCGCGCCTACCAGAAAGTTTTTATCACGCATTTCAGCTCCTGTGGCTCCGCAAGTCCCGCCAACTTGGACGAGTCTCCCCGCCCAGAACTGGCAGCAGCAGCAGCAGCCAGCTGCCGCTCCGGCCCCGCCAGCTGATCAGCAACAATGGCAGGTTCCGGCTCCACTTCCGGAACAGAGCGGTGAGTGTTAGAGAGCGAGATGGAGAAACTGGAGAGAGAGTGAGCGAGAGAGTGAGCGAGAGAGAGAGCGATACAGAGGGATAGGGCGAGATCACGACACTTTTAGCTCCCATCGCCCCGGCTGCCCCTCAAAACTGGGAAGTCCCTGCTCCGATCGCCCCAGTAGCTGAACAGCAACAACAACAGCAGAAACCCTGGCCCAACCCCGCCCCTGTTCAACCAGCTCCGGCAGCTGATCAGCAGCAATGGCAGGTTCCGGCCCCGCTTCCGGTTCAGAACGGTATGGTTTCGTAGCTATAAGGTCTTGGTATGCCGAAGATCTAGCAGATTCAGCAAATCTACATTTCCATACGTATTTCTAATCGAACTACTATTTTTCTGAAACCCTTTCATTGCTTATGGAATTTCAGCCTCTATCGCCCAGCCCACCCAAAATTGGGAAATCCCTGCTCCGATTAGCCAGCCCGCTCCTCAACAGCAGCAACAGCAGAACCAGTGGACCGTTCCCGCCCCACTTCAGGTCCAGGATGGTAACAATTTTGCTCCTCAGCTCCGTTAATACAAGTTGCAGTTCCCATACAACAGTGGCCCGCCCCGGCCCCGGTTCAGAATTGGCAAGTCCCGACTCCGGTTGCTCAAGCTCGTAAGTTTTTGATTTTGAAGTTGATTCTCGAAAAATACTGAAGTGATAAAAATTCCATTTTATAGCGCAACTCCCACTGATTCCTCTGAACTTGCCGCAGCCGTCGTTTGGTAAGTTGTCTATCCGTGTAGCTTTCTCGCATTCCCTTCAGCTCGTACTCATTTATCGTCTTCTCGCTTCTACCATCTCTTACTCGCCCTCTCTCACTCTCTTTCTCTCTATCGCTCTCTCGCTTCACGTCTAGCTTCAGCACCTCCCGTCGTTTTCCCTCAAGCCCCGGTCGCACCAGCGGTCGGACGTCGTGGTCGCTGCCAGGCCGGCAAACTCTACACCCGCGGCGACTGCATGGACACCTACTGGCAATGCACCAACGGTGTCGACTTCGCCCAGTTGACGTGTCCACAGGTTCGTAAATAGTTTTGGGGCATATCAAGAGCCCATTTTTAGGGCCAGGCCTTCGACCAGGTTTCTCTCTCTTGCCAGCTCTTCGAAAATGTCGCTACCTGCGTCAACAAGGATTTGCCTGCCCCGTTCTACGTCAACAACGCCGCCAGGTTCCCGAAATTCAGACCCCCGCCGAGAGATGAGGTCATCGAGTAGGTATTTCAAAGTGCTTCTGCTGCTTCGTGCTTCTTTGAGATCTGAAGACCAGATTCAGACTTTCACTGGTGATATGAAAACCTAAAACATCTAGGTACATCTTCAACCCTCACCGAATTCGGTACGACCGACCTCATCACCATCACCGTCATCACCACCAGGGACACCCCCATTTCCCGTACCCCGGCTTCGACCAGAGCGGACCGTTCGAGAGCCGTGAGGAGGACGATGTGAGTCTGGTTCTCTCTCTATCTCGCTCTCTAGCTCGTTCTCTCTCTACCTCTCGCTCGCTCTTATTCTCTCACTTTCTCTTTCTCTCGCCCTCTCTCTATTTCTCTGTCATGCTCTCTCTCTCTCTCTGGCTTGTTCGTATAGGTAAACGTACTTAAAGCTATTTTTTCAGATCGTCCTCGACAACTTCAGAACCAATCGCCATCCAGTTGGCGAATCAGTGATGTTTGGACCTTTCTTCGTCAAGGTACATATTTTGAGAAAACTTATTGTTGAAACATTCAACAATAATGTTTTTTTTTCAGACCCGCCACCATCGCCGTCATCACCACCATCACAGAAGACATGAGCACCGCGAGATCCGAGTACCAACGTATACCGAGGACGCTTTTGAGGGCCGTAAGTGCATAGGGACGTACTTTAATTTGCTTAATCGATTCAGGAATCCCCAAGGAGATCAAATCCAACCCGTTCTTCGACGGCCGTAACCGAAATCGTGTCGAGGTCGAGGATGTTCTCGACAAGCGACCAGGACAGTTGACCGACTCGATTTTCAAGTTCTTCCCGGCCACCAAGAGAAGGTAGAAATTTTGGCGGATTCAAGAGGCGGGAGGGCAGGGCTATAGATTTTACGTTCACGAATCTTTCTGAGCTTGTTGCAACCAAAACTCGTGACGCGAGGGGCCGCGGGTTAGCAAATATAAGCGTCGTTCGCGGCGCGCGTCGCGGCGATCGCGTAATGTGTGGCGGTGCGTATTTTGCGCATAGCAGTAGGCGTGTTGTGTTTAGGTGCTTTGCGTATCATAGCTGGTGCGTCGCGCGTGGCAGTAGGTGCGTTGCGTATAGCGGTTTCGGTGGGATCGGACAGGACGTAGTGGTCGTAGCAATGTGCGCGTTGCGTGTGGCGGCGCTGCTAAAATCCATAACTGGTCCATAGCCAACAAAGGTGTAACAAAGCCTTCTCGGTAGCTCGAAAGCTTGTTTGAAACGATTACGTTATTAAATAATTTATTTTTAGCGACCGACGACGGGACGACAAAAGCCACAAAAGCCACAAGAAGCACAAGAAATCGAATAGTGACGAAGTAAGAATTTTACATTTGACGTTAAAACTGTTTAGGTTGAGGGTTCGGGCACGGATTCGGGGATGGAATCTGGAGACGATGACGGCGACAACGTAGTCGAAACGAAGGCCCTCCGTCTGATCGGCTGAACGTACGATTATTCCGGGGCCATCCCTCCCGCTTCTTCTCCCTAAATAAAATCATTTGAACCCCCCATTTGTCGATTTGTGTTGTGTGACTGTAATAAAGCGTGTAGCCTGTTACATCAGTAAAAGTCAGACTTAACCGGATAAACTTACTTTAATTTTTTAAAAATTTCCTGATATTATCAAAATAAATTTAAACCAAATTTCCATTTTTGGACGCATAATTAGGGTCAAAGACGCCTTAAAAAATTTCAAAAGCTTTAAAATAAATTGGATTGTTCAGGTTCGAAACTTTAAGCAACTTTTTAAAGCTTCAATTTTTTTGACGATTGGGCACATTAATGGCATATTTGGCTGAGTAGGTTCTGCTAAAAGTCGATAATGCGTGCTTGCCAGTCGCTGGCTCTATCCGTCTATTAGTACATCGACACATCGACGCATTGACAGCTTGACGACAAACCTTCGCGAGCTTGACGCCTCCCAACTCCCATGCCACGATGCTGATCAATGGGAATGGCTGTCCACCATGCCCAGCACATTTCCCTGCGACGTCATCAAGCTGTGGCTGCAGCATCATCAGACCTCCATAACCTTGTTGTTTGATGTAGGAGATCTGAAATTTAGCAGGAATGAAAAAAGGGAAAATTTTTGTTTTATCTTTTGGAGATCGTAGCAAATAGAAAACGGTGGAATCTGGGTCACTGGAAAAAGTGTCACGGTCTTGGAAAATCGGAGCCCCGCCCAGATTTTTCATGTTAGTGAAATTGAGCCAAAGCCTACCATTTGTACAATCATCGGCTCGTCCGTAAAAAATTGCCTCAACCTGTTTTCGGTAAAGAACGGCGTATCGAAATCAAAGCTGAAATCCCGGGTCCAATTCGTCAGGTTGCTTTTCTCGCGGATTTGGCAAATCTAGACAATCACGATAAACTTTCTATAACAGTTTTTATACTTTTATTAACGCTTCATTTTTAACGCTCGAATTGATAAAATATAGTTAGGTACCATCGGTTTTCGGAAAAACAAGAAGCCAAAAACCCACTTCTTGAAACGCCGGAATGGTCGAAGATACATCCTCCGCAATGATACCGTCAATGTCACCACAATCCTATAGGATTCACCTAATGGAATTTTGCATACCGTAATCTTCCAGCCAATGCCAAAAGTTGCAGCCCCAAATACAATCTTTTCTTTCGGTATACCTTGCTCGACAATGTATTGAGCGGCCTCTTTCTAAACGAAATGGAGTTTACTATTTTTATCGTAATTTAACATTTTTTACTTGATTCCAAATCTGCAACGGATCCGTCCACATACTGGTGATGTTGAATGGCATCAGGACCACAAAATCGACACTAAATTCCTAATTGCTAATCTTTTAACGATTATAATACCTCGAGATTTGTCTCAAATCGTAATTGTCAAACAACGATTGCTTGTCACCTGGCAGAATTGCTACCACTTGATACGGTGATCCAATTTTCATGGCATTTGCTTCATTGAGGACTGTTTGGAATTCCTAAAAAAATAGCGTGATTAGTTATTATTTCATGCTAGTATTCTAGTTGTTGGTTTTGAAAGTGAATGTTTTTGGTATCCACCTGCAGATAACTAGCGTAATTCTTCATATCGCCAGCCGAATCCGACCAATCCAAGGCGACGCCATCGAGATTAGCCATTTTTAGGAAGCTGAGACAGGCATAGGTGAATTCGATTCGGCGGGTGTTGATTTTTAGCTCCTAAATGGAGGGATTATTCAAGAAAAAGAAATCCCTTAAAAATGTATTTTTTAAATGCAAAATACGGACTTCGAAGATCACTGCTCCAAAAGTCCGTCCAGAAATTGAGAGCAGCACCATTAGATCCGGATCAATTTTCTTCAGGGATACCACCTTTTCCACAAAGTTGGCACCAATCCAAGAGTCCTCTTCGTGCAATACAGTTGAGTTCGAGGTGCTAAAACCGCCCGATTGGTGGAGCCGCGAAAGTTACCACAAATTGACCATATCGATAAACTCCGTGCAATCGTCTACCCCGGCTACTACTCTCAAAAATTCGCAGTTTTCGGTCGCCCAGCTCTGGATTTTTGACCCGCCTAAATTTGATTTAGAAAACTTCCAGAGCCTTATACCCATTTTCGTAGCCATATCCTTGATTTTGGAGCAATATTCGCTACTTACGGAAGCAGCGTTTGCATGGCTAGTCGGCCTGAAAAGACTCTTTGAATAAATTTATAAAAACAGAATCTGCGACGCCTAAATACAACTCAAGGTAACCTACCTTCCCGCTACCTCATCCTGTAGCCATTCAGCCTCTATGATCAAGTGAGTGCACATTCCTGGCTGCCAATCACGGAGGGAGAAGCCATTATTATCAGGTTTTCTGGATTTCGATAAACATGATCCGGAGTAAAAATTCCTTACCTGAATTGTCCCCACAAGTTCATCCAGCAAGGTCGGATGTATTGCTGTCGCGTTGGGGTAAGCCCTAAAAATTTCATAATTCCCGAGGCATCGTAAATGAGACCTTGATATCACATTTTAACGGTACTCTGATTTTTTATCTTCTGATTCCTTTTTTTTGTAGTTGGAAATCGCTGGGAGTAGTGGGATGACAAAACTTACGAAACCCAAAGGGCTGGTAACCTTGGCTGACCGCAGAATCATGGGCTGGCTTTTGAACATCGGTGGTGACTTCCGGCAAATTTCCAGAAGATTCCAGAAGTGGAATAGCATTGACTACCCCAAATAGGAATACAAATGTTATTAGAAAACGGCGCATCGTGTGCTCGTTATTCGGCAGAATGGTCAACGCGTCATAGCTTGCCATCCCCTGCGGCAGGGGTTGATTTTATCTCATCAAGGTCATCAGATTATGTGTGTTTAGGTGATCTTTACTTGCAATGATTTGAATTGGTCGCGAATAAGTCAAAGAATACGTTAAAAAAAATATTTATCCGTAATAATATTGATAGATCAAAAATGTGTGCTCGTGTGGTCTTTCGTTTCGGCAGCCACCGAGCTTCCCGTGATATTTGTACTTCGTGGGCACAATGGAGAATGGGGGATGCTGCTCCGGCAGATTTTCAAGAATATTCGCTGAAAAAGAACGTTTTAAGGATGATGAACAGGAGCATTGAAAACTCAAAAAAATAGGTTTGAATGTATGATCTCCTAACATGTCAAGGTTCGGTTAGAATTACCGGACGCAAGTGGTAGATCTTTTCAATTCAGGCTGAGCTTACCTTTATGCTCTTACAGTCACTCGCAATGCATATCCTGAACTTCTCCATCCGGAGTGTGTAAATGAACAAATTTGCCGCCATTTTTATGATGACCAGAGTGTTGACGATAACTGAGATGGCAACCGCAGTTCGTAACCGGATATCCCGGTAGGCAACGATTGGACAGTCTTGGTAGCAGACCTGAAAAAACTATGAAACTAGGATTTCCCCGTTCAAAAATTCTATGGAGGAAGTCTAGCATAGCTTTACTGGAAAATAGACGAGAAAAAATATTAATCGGCCGAATTTGGTGCGGTATCAACACTCACCATTACGAAAAATATCATATGCGGCCCCCAGGAGAAGCAGTATGACGAGACGATGATCAGACTTGTCACCAGTAGTCTCATTTTCCGCTTGACATTACCCTCTGCGCTACTTCTCCTCGTTAGAGGATCAGCGCTGGAGAAAAAATATTATATTTCATTTTCCGCGAAGACTTACCAGCTAGGACTTGACTTCACCATCTTCAGCTGGGCCTCGCTTAGGCAACGCACGATTTTGAAGTACATTGCCTGAAATATTTTATGTAAACACTATCAACTAAGGGAACAGCTGTTTTGTAATTTAAATGTATTTAGTTTAGTTTTATAACCCTCACTTGACCATTACTCCAATTGTGTTCATTATAAAAATAAAAGTGAAAAAGACAGATCCTTCTCTTTTTTGTTTTATGAGCCCTCACTTGGGCTTTTCCAAAATTAGCCACAATTGGCAACATTTCTTATTGTGTGCCTGGCGATGGCTCGGACATCTAAGGAAGGACGTTCAGGCAACATGGTCAATTCAGTAGCGATGTGAACGATTGGATGGGTTATCGTCACAGCCAGCCAGGCACCATCACAGGCCGATGGTGAGGAGAGGGTAGAGGGTGGGGGGATAAGGAAACGGAGAGACCAGGTGGGGGGCGAGTGAGGAAGGGGTGGGGTGGGAAGGAACCCTATTTTCTAATCAAAAGAGAAGCGTAATAATACGCTAATGGTAGAAAGAAAAGTACTAAACAGATGACTATTTTCTAAAATAATTTAAACCAGACAAAAAGAATCTAGTACGGCCCCTTCGACCCTCGTCCAAGGCAGACTAAATAATGCTAGTCGGACTGCCCAGCAAATTTCAAATGATTGAATGGGCTATAGAATTTGTTATTTAGTTAGTAAATAGTTCAAAGAGCTTATTTCATTTGGGGTGGTGCTTAAAAATGAAAAAGTACGATAGAAAACAGGTAGAAATGGCACGATTCAGCTACTTTGTCCCCCGTGCTCGTTTTTTTGGATTTGATTGCTAACGAGCAATATTTTTAGGTAAAAATCGTGAACAGCTATTTTGCAAAAACTCACCACAGTAGCCAAAATCGGCAGGAAAAATAGTGGAAATGTCGTAGCGCGGAACGGGAATGAAAAGTAGAACTTCATTGAGCAGGTCGGGTCCCGGAAACCACCATCGGGCAGTGCCCAAAACCTGTAAAAACGTTTTGCTTGTTTCACTAGTACCTGGCAAACACGTTTTTTTAGGTTTTAAGGTGCCTGTTAGCTTTTTTTTTTGAATCGTCGAGGTTTTATTAACTTACCAAGCAAAAACGTAAGCATGTGGCAGCACCCATAATCCCACCAATACGTATCGCATCCGCCCATTTGTTACCCATATCTGAAAGCCAAGCTTTTTGAGCCTAGAAAATGTAAAAATAAAACGAGAAGAGTGATAAATGTGGACGGAAGAA